AGGGGCTGGTCTGGCTTCTAGGAACCACAGTCCACGGCTCGGTGGGTGAGGATCCCCGGGACCCCCCACTGCTGGGTCCTCTCCCACATTCCTGCGGCCGCAAACCGCCCGGCTCAGAGGGAGAGGCAGAGTGCAGGAGGGAGCGCAGCAGCTGACCTCGCAGACGTGACAAGGGCCACAAAGTCACGATGCCATGGCCGCGCCTGCTGGCGATGCCACGCAGCTCTGCACGGGCAGCTGTTCTGCATTGCCTTCTACCCCCCCCCCACCTCGCCGCACGTGAGGAGCACGGCCAACACTTTGGTTGTGAGCAAGACCAGCACCCTGACTTCAGAGGGCAGGAAATGACGCACTCAACCACAAAACAGAGCGAAACAGAGCGAAACAGAGCTGTGTGGACAGAACTCAGGCCTGACTGAGTGGATCTGCCGCTTGCCAGGCCAGCGTCTCATGAGGCCCGTCCTCAGGGCAGAGGGGCCCCGGCAGGGTGAGCAGAGCCGCAGCCCACACCGCGCCGGGAGAGCAGGCAGCGGCTGTGGCTGCGTGGTCACCGCCCTGCTGTGGCTTGCCAGTGACGGACCTACCAGTGCGAGTGGGACCGTCAACCGCCTTTTCTAACGCCACCAATGGTGACTTCTGAGGATCGACGTGCACACAGGTAAGGCCGATTTTACAATTATGCCGTGCAAAGGATGGTTCTTGTTTCAATCACACCTGCAACACTTTATTTTCAAATTAAGCTCACAGACCCTGGCCATCCACTGAAAGGGGCATCATAAGTCAAAACGCGAAGACGCAGAGGCTGGTGGTCACACACCGCTGTGAACAACCAATCACACGACAGACACTGAGAGAGCCCGCAGGGGCTGAAGTCACTTGGCATCACCTCCTCGTCCACGGCCCCTGAGGTGTGGCAACATCCGTGACTCATGGACCGTCCTTTCACTGCCGCACTGATCACAGGATGTTCACTGACCAAGCTACCGAAGTCTTACTTCATTTGTTTACTGCGGACAAAGAGTGTCACGGTAAAGGCCAAGTTCAGGAAGGCAGGTCGGTGGGGTCCGCTGGCCAGGAGGAGCCAAGAAGGTGAGGGACAGAATCTAGCGCCACCCGCTCGAGGGCTGCATTTACAGGAAGGCAGAGGAGAGCCGGCTTCATCTACTGAACACAACAGAGGCAACCTGCGGCCCGGGACAGGGCTCGCGTGCCAGCGCCCGGGAATGGAGGGCCCCACAGCGGGGACCGAGGGGGCTCACTCTGAATGGACAGCGCGATGAGGCTGGGGCGGGGCAGGGACAGAGGGACGACGGGCGGGCGGGCGGGCGAGACGCTCATTCCAGGGTCACAGAGGAAATGGGCAGGTGAACCTTGACACCCTCTCCTACAGAATGAGGGCGGTGAGCCAGAAGGCCTGGGCTCCCCCTGAATGTCACGAGCCCAGGGCTTTGTTATGGTCGGGGCTGCGGGCAGGGAAGGGCGGCAACGGCAGGCCCCTCCGGGAGAAGCCCGAGGGCAGACCTACACCTCACTGCCGTCCCCCGTGAGAACACCGGGTCACGTTCACCGCCAGACTGCCCTCCTCCACCACACCAGGTATGTGCGGCTTAGGCCGAGCTGTTCTCGTCCCGAATGCCTTCGCCAGGGTCACTGTTGTTGAAAACACACGCACCTCACACACCCGTGGGCGTCTGGAAGAGGCCCACCAGAGCACCTGGGATGCCAGAGGACAGCAGGTGTGTGGCATGCACAGGGAAGCAGACTGTCACCGCAGCTTGCTGTCACCTAGACCCTCACAGCAAAGGAAGGCTCTCCCAGGACTAGGAGGAAGGGCAGCAACATGGGCCCCTTCGAGTGAAAGGACACAAGTGAACACCCAGGTGTGAAGTGAAGCCGAGCCGCAGGCACCCAGAAGTTGGAAATGCTGGGTTCAGGCCCCTTCCAGCTGCCCTTCACGGCCCCCTCTGTCCCCTGCCCTGTCCCCTCCTCAGTGCTGGCACCGCTTCCCGCACCCATGGCACTTTTCAAAGCACCCCTTCAAAATGCCAGTCCTTCTGGTCAGCTCTGGGGGAAGAAACTGCATCACGATTTAAAATCACACTACATGTTAAAATCTGACGAAAGCTGTCCTTTGCTTTCAGAGGGCTTCGCGGTTTAGATGCCATCAGAGCAGAAAGCGTTAACACCCAAGGAACCAGTCTCCCACGCAGACTCTGGGGCCAGCCCTGGGTTTTTCAAGGTTTCAAACAGGTCTCGACACCTGAGCTAGTCAGTGGGAAACTGCCGACCACCGGCAGCTGTGTGTGTGTGCCGGCCGGTCGTGTTTCTTCCGGGGACTGGAGATGCGGCTGAGAGAAAGTTACAGCGCGTCCACACTCATTTTTTTCTTCCATCTTTCCACCAGTCTCCCCTTGGTCTGGTCCAGAACCGGCATCGTGCCTTCGACATGCTGGCAAAATACACTGACGTTAAACTGAAGCCGGAGCTGGGCTGCATAGGAGTGGCCTAAGTTCATCGTTCTTAGGTTTGTATCCTCGTCGGGCTACTGCCTGATATGAGGCGACCTTGAACAATCCGCACGCCCCACAGCCCTGCGGGACTGCAGCTGCCCTCCACCACCTGCCTGTAGCAAGCTACCAAGCAGGCAGGGCTGTGCACACAGAGCCTTAGCACCGCTAACACCTGGGTCGGAGAGTGTTCTGCTGTGCATTGTGGGTGTTCAACAGCACCCCAGGCTCACCTGCGGGGTGTCAGTAGTGCCCTTCAGGGTACGATGACCAAAAACGTCTGCTGGTATTGCCAAATATTCCCTGGGGGTGGGCAAAATCACCCCCATTTGAGAACCACCGAGTTATTGTAAGATTACAGGAAGGGCAGCCCAACCCACAGCTGGGAAGGAAAGTTAACCATCGTTTTACGAGGGTTGGAACGTGGCCTGAAGTTCAGAATGAGCCTCACTCATGAGCCCCTACAGTGTTCTGCTAATGGAAGCCCTGCATTCAATACCACAGAGGAAAAACTTGATTCAACAACTTATAACGTGTCTGAGGGGAAAAAAGAGTCTGGGGGAAGCCTGCTGTGGACTTAATCTAGGGGAGCCTTCAGTCTTCTTCTAGGAGAAGAACGGGCTCCGCTGGAAGACAATGCAGCAGTTACGATGTCCCTGCAGCTGGTCCGCACCCGCAGCTCATTTGCACCTGACGGGCCAGCCCAGCAGACAGACCGCAGAGCAGGCTGCAGACGTGCAGTGGGGAGGCAGGGGACCAGCACTCATCAGCGCATCGGCCTGCGAGCTTCCGTTCAGTTGGGCTGGGTAGTGCGAGTGGCTGATAAAATGTTTAAATTATGGCAGGCCTGGAAAAAATTAACAGTAACAACCTGCATTTTTTGCTTGTCGGTACTTTGGACTCTGTAAAGACCCAGCTACTATAAAAGCACATTTCCTGTCCTTTGTCATCTCAGGTTTGGTGGCAGAGCTCTCTGGGCTCCCTCCTTCCAGAGTGGGTGGCATTCATTAGCTTCCTAACAGAGAGAGTTAGCTCGTTAGCTCGCCTCTTCTCAGGTAAATAGGCCACCAAACTCTCCACCTGAAACCCCTGTGGGAAGGAGCATACACACTTGGTCTTTTTAAACATCGATTTGTTGTTCCACTGTATAGAATTATGCATTTGTTGGTTGTTTTTTGTGCGTGTCCTGACTGTACATCAAACCCACACCCTTGGTGTATGAGGACGATGGTCTAACAAACTCAGGTGCCTGGCCAGGGCTTGGAATGCACAGCTTTCAACAGGTGTTTTACCTGCACCTACAGTTAAAATACCTCCTGCCCCGAGTCCTCTCGCTGCAAATCCCAGTGGCGAGGTCCGTCCGCCCAGCTCCTGCCTTCTTCTTCCGTGTTGCCACCGGGGGCTCTCACAGCTCAGCCCAGGCCGGCACCCACGGGGAACTCCCTGCAAATGCCAACGATGGGCCCCCACTCCAGACCCGAGGAGTCGGCGAGAGGGGCCCGGACTCCCGGAGTGATGTAACAAACCCTCCGGGAGGGCCCAGAGCAGCCTGCAGTCTGGGGACCAGTGACCCGGGAGCCTGGTTTCCACAACCACTAACACATGGTTTTCACAGAACACAAGAGGCCGACGGAGTCAGCTATGCACTTTATATAAAGTCTCAAGCGCCCCTCAACCCAAAGCAAGTAGACTGCTGTCCCTTCAGGGAGGGGGCACAGTCAGGGTCCCAAAGCGAATCACTGCAGGTGGAAGATGGAAGGTTCTGCTGGTTTTCTCACTACTGAAAAAGGTCTGTGGCATTTTACTCAGAGTCCCTTTGTTGTTGTTGTTTCAGCTTTGGGGCAGTTCGGGAGGGTGGGAGAGAAATGGATGGGGGAGCCGCGTGCCAGCTGCTCGGGTCCCACCGGATGGATGGGCATTTGAGGGTGCGATTCTGGAAACTGCGCTTCCAGCAAAGGGCGCCTAACCCGCCGCGTCCCCTCCGTCCTCCCCCACACCCGGGGCTGCCCCAGCGCTTGGAGAAGAAAGAGGTCGGGACTTGGGGCCTGGGACGCGCCTCTCCTCACCGCTGGCCTTCCGGACGCAACGGGTTGTCGGCAAGACTGAAGCCGGCCGCGCGCCCTGCGGCTCCGCGCCCAGGGGACCAGTTTAAGGGGAAACTGGCACCCGCAAAGCCCGGAGGGCGCCCAACCCCACACCGCAGCCGCTCGAGAAGGTGGCGGGCGGTGAGCCGGGAACCGCCAAGGGCCGCGCGGAAAGAAACCGCAGTCCCACTGGGTCTGAGTAAAGGGCAGGCCGAGCGCGGACGCTGGAACGGACTGGAGGAGGCACCCGGGAGGTGAAAATGGGGGGCTGGAGAGGAAGGTGCACCCCAGGGGATAGAACAGGGGGCTGGAGTGGAGAGGAGGGTGCACCCCAAGACATGGAATAGGGGGCTGGAGTGCAGCGCAGATGGAGTCCCAGCAGACGGAGGTGGGGGTGGCCTGAACTCACTGTGTGGGTCGCTCTTCTCCCGGACCCCGTCCACTCGGCCGTCGGGGTGGATGCGCAGGAAGAAGCCCCCATTTTTGCAGTAGAGCCGCTTGGGGTCCTTGAAGTGTCCGGGCGGGAAGGCGCCGCTGCCGCCGTCGTCCGGCAGGGTGGGCAGCGTGGTGATGCTCCCGGTGGCCATGGCTCCACCCGGGCCCTGCCGGGGTCCCCGAGCCCCTGGCGCCGCGCGAGGAGCCGCCGCCGCTCGACCCCGGCCCCCGACTCGCTCCGAGGCGCGGCCCGGGCCCCGGCCCCGGCCCCGGCCTCGGCCCCCCAGCCTCCCGCCGGGCGGCGCTCGGCCGCGCCCGGGGGCCCCCAGCCTCGCGCCGCTCCGCCCTGCCCTCCCCGTCGGCCCGGGAGCTCCGGTCTGGGGCTCGGAGTCTCCGCGGCCACCACTCCCTGCAGGGCCCGGGATCCTGTCGCAGCCGCGGGCAGTGCGTCCGCCGCTCTGGCACCGCCGGGCCTCGGCGTCACCACTTCTACATCTCCGCCCCCGACACCCCCACCCCACGCGCGGCTCCCCGCCCTCCGCGCGCGCCGCCCCCTGCCCGCTCCAGGGCTTCGGGGCCGGACGCGCGGGCCGCAGGACGCAGGCGCACGAGGGCGGCCCCGCGGAGGGGGGCGGGGGGGCGAGCGCGGCCCGGGGCGGGGAGGTGCGGGGGGCGCGCGGATTGCACCGGGCTGGCTCCCCCGAAGGCGCCTCAGCCCAGCCCCGCGCCAAAGAACCACCTTCAGCCCTTCTCCGCACCGCGGAGCCCTCGGGCGCAGCTGGCAGTGACTCGGCCTTTACAAGCTTAAGTGCGACTTGCTGCCCCATTGTTCCTCGGGCCAGCGTTTCGTGCCCACCTCCGAGAAGCACTCGAAGTGGGGGGCGGGGTCCTGTGTCGGGAGGGGTTTGAACCCTTCCGCGCTCAAAAGAGAGGGGGCTCGCGCGGCACTCGAACTACTGCGATTGGAGGCACAGGTTGAAGTCGTTTACCGACGAGGGGCGAGGAGGCCGGAGGAGGGGAGTGGGTTGGGCTGCGCTGCCAAGAGGAAAGGTTTTCTTTTAACCAAACCAACTGCATGGGGCAACTCGAAGGAGAAGATGGGCCTCAAATCCCTGCCGTGACAGACGTGCGTGCTCATGCCTTGGTCCTAAACTGGCACCCACCGCAGCCGAAGGGTTGGGCATTTCCTAGAGGCGGTGGTTGGGTGAAAATCCCGACCTGCGCGGAACCGAAGTTAGTTGCACTTTGGTGGTTTTCGGTAGAATGTAAGAAGCAAACTACCCGTCCACAAAACGCGATGCACGGAGCGCCCACATGGCCCAAAGCTTTTCGGTAGGTGCGGCGGGAGATGCCCAGGGAGGTGGGAGACGCCGAGGGGCATGGAAAACGCCAGTGCCGCCAGGGAGCGCCGCGGCCCCGGGGAGTGAAATGAAGTGAGGTTTCCCAGAGGGGTCAGTCAGCTCGGGGGCAGGTGGGGATTAAGGAAAGCTTCTAGGACCAGGTGAGAACACAGACATTCCTCTACATAGGAACATATTTCGTTTCAAAAGGTCATCCACGAGCGCATCAGTTCTGAGCTGCCAAGAGGGCTGAGCTCCAGATGCGTTTCGTGGGTGTTGGTCAGGAGTGAGAGCAGGTATACCCCGACCTGGCCAAGCCTGTTCTGCGGCGTCTCTCTCTAAAACGGCCAGGTTTTTCCTGCACTGGAAATCTGTTAGGACAGCCCCCTCCCACGAGGTCTCCACCGGTATCCAAGGAATGCTCCCGGCTACTGCGGAGCTGGAGGAAGAGAGAGAAGACGTGCAGTCCTGTCACTAGCCAAGCTGCTAAGTCACTAACGTCGAATAGGCCGGGTGTGAGGGACCGGTCCTGTCCCCGTGTCCACCTTCTGAACTTTCAGCCCTGTTCATCCAACCTCCCGACAACCCCCTGCCGACCCGCTGAAGGGCCAAGAGGAAGGAATGTTCCTGTATCCAGGCCGCCTGACATCCGTCAGCCAGACAACCGGTCATGTGGGGGGTGGGTCACTGTCTGGGACCAGTCCAGAGGCCAAGCACTCAGAGCTGATCCTTCTTGAGATCGTACTTTTTAATTTATTACAGGAACTCTTGCCTTTTCTTTCTTGTTTGGAATACTGTGGGTATTGCCTAGTCGTGTTTCTCTTTGCAAACCCTAAGGCCCTTGAATAAATCTTTATCATTTCTTTCTAGCTGAAGAGTCCAGATTCTCTTTGAGTTCATTTGATAGACAGCCCAGCATTCGCTCACAGAATTAAACTCATGGTTGCCGTGTGGCGTAGTAAGTCCATTTCTACATGTACGTACAGAAGAAATGGGAGCCTGTGTGCACACAGAAAGTGTTACTGGGTGGTCGGAGCAGCGTTATTCATAACAGCCCTGCGTGGAAACGACCTGACCGTCTATCAGCTGATGAATGAATAAACAATATTCAGCACATTTAGAGAATGGCGCGTTTTGGCAATAAAAAGGAATGAAGTACACATACGTGTAGCAACATGAATGAACCTTAAAACATAATGCTAAGTCTAAGAAGCCAGACAGAAAAGCCCACGGTTGCATGATTCCATTTATACAAACTGTCTGAGATACGCAAGTTCATAGAGACAGAAGCAGAGGCGTGGTTTCCGGGGGCTGGAAGCAGAGGGAAGTGGGCGTGGCTGCCGATGAGTGTGGGTTGTTTGCTCCTTCGTTTGTTTCAGGGATGAAAAACCTCTGGAATTAGATAGTGATGAATACACTGGAAAAACACTGAACTGTATGCTTTGAAACGGTACATTTTATGGTATGCAAATGATAATTCAGAAAAATTAAGAAATGCATGCTGAAATAAAAATAAAATTATTCTCTCATGAAGTTGAGAGGGGGAAAAAAAGACAGATAACCAAGGACAAAGTGACCGGAGATTCCGTGAGCCAGCAGACGGCAAACAAACTGTTGCTGCGTTTGGACGGGCAGTTTAAAGTGTGTGCATTACGTCCTTTAAGTTGTGAAATTAAATATCATTGTACCCTGTGTTTGTGGTGCAAGAAATTTACTCTAAAGGAAAAAAAAACATGAATACATTAACAAGCTTGCTGTCCATTACAACATCGATTCTAATGAAGAAAAAATGAGAAACTAAATAGTAAAAGGTGAACGAACTAATCTGAACAAATCGTGTTCTGTTCCTACTGACTGATGTGCTCCAACTGGCCACACACACAGCTCTGCGGGAGAAGGCTCAGCGGGGAGGACTGCTTACAATATATTGTCAACCGAAAGTAGTTGACAAAACTAGCAGTGTCCTTTATGTTCCATACACTCCCCAACACTTACTAGAATGACATCTGTTAAAATGCTAATCCTGATTACTTTGGGCGGTGAGATTATTATTTTTTTTTATAAAAGTAGTCTCTGGCTACTCACTATCACATCAAATATCTAAAATTGTATCTCGCCTATTTATTTGTTTTCTCATTTACCATCAGTCCCCTCCCCCAGGAGAAGACAGGGCCCCTCACAGGAGGGATCCGTGTGCCCTAAACACTGGCATTCTTGGGCCTAGAGGCGCCAAGCAGGGCCTCAATGATTGTTTTTTTTTAATGAGTGCGTTCATTAATATCGTTTTTAAAAGTTGTTTCTGAAAACCAGGCTCCTCATCTATATCATGGCCAATGATCGTGGAACTCGAAATGTGAATCATTTTTCTAATGAAACCCATTTCCTCACAAAATCCCACTGAAGGGCACATGTGACTGTCTGTCTCCTCAAACCCAGCACGTCAAACGTCACCCTGTCAGCCCTCATGCGTCCTCGTGACGACTGTCACCCATGGCGTGGCGGGGACAGCGGGCACTCGACGCTGTGCCCATTTGAGGTGGGAGAAGGGTCAGCGGGTTTGCTTTCCAAGCCCAGGCGGCAGATTCTGGTCTCTCTGGGAAAATGTTCTGTGCCTGATGTTGACTTTGTGTCCTGGGTTTTAAAAAACAAACAGGCAAAAAAACAAACAAACCTGAAATAGCCAAGGCTTGATTGTGTCACCTTTGGCAATTTTATTTTTAAATATTGTGTTATTACCCCAACTGGATACCTGAGCCCCTGTCATTCACTGTCCTCAGGTGTCCGTCCGTGTGACTGCACCGGCCAAGAGACCGGGCTCCTCGCGTGGACCTCAGGTTTGCCTCCTGAGACCAACCACAAAGCTCAGAAAAGTCAAAGCTCCGTGCCCTCGAGCCCCTCCTCGGTGACCTTCGGGGCTCCCCCCGAGCGCCGCCGGACAATCTGCCGAGGTTTGTCCTCACGCCTTTTTGAGTGAGGGGTGATAGGAATGGTTGCATTTATTCCTACGCAAGAGTTGGATGGGAAGAGGGTGACTCAAAGGAGCCCGGCTTTCCTCATGTCAATTTCATTCCAATACATAATTATTGATAAGAAATCTGTGGCGAAGACGCCCTTCACAGAGGGCTCTGTTATTCCTTAGAATCTACGTGATCTGCTCGGATTACAGAAAGTCTAATCTTGGTGTCCAGCTGTTCTTCCTTCACATTAGTTTAAAAGGGTATCCTGACCCTCAATTCAGAGCACTTTTTTTAAAATGTGTAAAAACTACCAAAAAAAAACCAAAAACCTGTCTTTTTAAAGCAACCTTGCAAGAAGTGGGCACCTGGATACACCTTCGGAACAGGCTGCCCCTGGGATCCGGGAAGCTGGGTGAGTGAACGCTACGATTATATACGAACCGCACGGGAGAACCCACTGCCAGTGCCGCCCTTGCTCTCAACAAAGTCAGAAGGTCAGCGACACACTGGGAAAACATGCTGCCCTGTGACGCCCATGGGACTCCTCCAAGTATAGAAGAGGCCTTAAGTGTCAGTGAGTGAAGATCCACAGGCAAAGGAAGAACAAGTAGTTTGTAGGAAAGGAGTCACAAACAGGATACATAGATAAATACATACTATTTACATAAAGCAATCCTTCAGCACATTTAAATGAACTATCAAATGTGGACTAAAGGCAAATGAAACCTAGAATGAGATACAGCGCTCCACCTTTCATTGGCCACGGTCAGAAAGTTTCGCGTGAGAGCCGGAGGACGCAGGTCCTCTCGCAGCACCGGTGGGCCTCAGAACCGAAGTCCAGCTCGCATCTGAAGTCAGCGTGCCATCCAGTCCAGCAACTCCCCAGGCATTTGCCCCACGGCCACTCACACGGGGACAATGACCGGGAACACAGGCACGGGTGCCTAGGGTGTGGCTGCAGAAGTTTGAAAAGAAGCAGTAAAAATGGTCATCGGTAGAGAATCATAAAAGAAATTGTTGCCGTCTGGCGTTTAGTATTTTTGCTGAAAGCCCATCAGTACGGGATGCGATTCTATAACGAACAATGGCAGCTAAAAGAATGGAGTCGATCTCCATGTATCTCTGTGGAATGACGTCCTTCTCTTTCAGCCGCTTGCTTTCTCACTCCCTGGGCATCGTAGAAGACGTTCTGTGTTAGTTAAGTGTGAGCTGCCTTGTTCACACTGTAGCTGCTGCGGGGGTTCCGGAGCGGCGCCTCCACGAGCCTTTCCGCACGGCCTGGCCGTAGTGCCAGGCTGGACACGGCCTTGCCGCACCCGCAACCCCAAGCGCACCGGCCCCCATGTGCCCGTGTTCAAGTCTTTCTCCTCAGTTGTACTAGTCACAGGTTTGTTGGGTCCCTGCTTTTCAGTTCTCGGGGACATGGACAGATCCACCCCCACAGTGACTCGCTGGACCCCAGCCCACCGCCAGCACTCAGCCCTTTGAGGAGGTGCCGAGCTCCACACGATTGTAACCGTCGGGCCGAGA